ACCCCTGGGGCAATGCCAGTGGGTGCGGGCATCCACGCTGGAGTTCTCTCCTGAGGTCGGGGCCTCGTGGGGAGACAGGAGGAACACAGGTGAGGCACGAGGGAAGCCTTTCTTCTTCCCACCACATCCCCTTGCGTGGGCGCTGTGTCCGCCATACGTGCCTCCACCGGGCCTTCCTGATACCTCCCAGGGTGGCGGGCAGAGTCCTGGGGTGTCGTGGTGCCCCAGGAGGCCCTTTTCAGGAACACGGAATTGGACCAGAGTGGGGTTGGTGCTGGGAGCCCAGCACCCGAAGCAGACGGCGTTCTGTCCTTGAGGTGCAGCGTTACACAAGTTGAGGGGCTCCGGGGTGGGGGGGTTGTGCAAGAAGCCCAGGGATTTGCTGTTATTCAGCTCAGATAACTCAGTGGAGACTCATCAAGGACAGAGGCAGGGGAAGCAACAGTGTGTTGAAGGAACAGGGGCCCTCCTTCTGACTTTGGGGCTGAGGGCAGGGCTGGGGGCAGGGAGGCAGGGCAGGTCTTCAAGAAGGACGGGAAAGCTGGGGGCAGAAGAAGTTTCCCATCCTGTGTCCTGTCCTGACTCCCCAGACCCAATGGGATGCTGGCTGGCAGGGTTTTCTGCTCGCTGTGGGCCAGACTCCTTCCTGCAGGCAGCCCTGGCCCTCAGCATGGGCGGGACGGAGAGTCCGTGGTAGGAGGAGGAAGTACCACCGGCTTCCAAGAGCATCAGCGTCAGCAGCTGACGCTAAACGTGGTCTGAGAGGAGCCCGGCTTCTCCCCCACGCTTTGGCCTGGAAGCATGCTGTCGGGGGCCTGGCCTGCGACTCACCGCTTTCATCTTTAAAACGCATCCTAGAAGCATCCATGCCTGCCAGTGTGCCCCCCCCCCCGATCTGTACTTCCCGTGGCCCATCTGGAGGAATGACACCCTCCAAGGGAAGGCCAGCAGGGTCGGGTGGCCTCTGACATCTGCTATGAACTGTGCCCCCCTGTGAAGGGCGGGGGAGGAGGGACTGCGTGCCTCAGTCAGGCCTCACTGCCCAGCTCGCGCAGGCGCCCAGCAGCTCGCGCAGGCCGCCATGGGGGAGGGGAGGAGCCAGGCTTGGCGGCCCTGCCTTCAAAGGCTTTTTAACTGAGTTGGGGAGAGGGGGCAGTCACTCCGGAATGTCCTGTGAGCAAATGCTGAGCTAGAAGCACAAATGCAGGCCAGGAGGCCCCTGCAGTGGAGGGTGCGCTGGCTGGGGCTGGAAAGGGAGGGGAGTCAAGGGCCTGCTGGGCGGAGGGCGAAGGAGGGGGGCGGCACGGCCAGGTGCACTTGGAAGCAGATGTGCAGGGCATCTGGGGGCCTGGCTATGACTGGCAGGCAGGATGGGCTGGAGGCGGGGGAAGATCTGTGAGGGAGGGCAGGCGTCAGCCCGATGGGCTCCCGCGGGACCTTCCCAAATACGAATCCACCAGGCCGGGGGACTGACATAGGTAGGTCATCGGCACCTTGAAGTAGTGGCGGGCAGTGCTGGTTTGGGTCCCCGAGAGGCAGAGAGGGTCAGGCGCCAAAGGTGACTGGCGGGTAGCACCTGAAACGGGCGGGGGAGGAGGCTGGAGGGGCCGGGGGCTATCAGGCCGGGGGCGGTACGGCGGCCCCAGAGAGTGGCCCGAGCCTGGCGGCGCTCACCGTGCGCCCAGGCTGGGGCGGCCCGGCCGCTCTCCGGGGTCCCCAGGTGCTGCAATGCGACCCTGCAGAGGTACTTCTGCACAAGGGTGTCCCCGGCAGGGCCGCCGAAATGCTTCAGCCGCGCTCCAGACTCCAGAGCTGGAGCTTCCAGGCAGCATGGTCACCAGGTGCCCCTGGCGACCTGAAGTCCCCTCCCCGCCCCCAGGTGCGGCACCAGGACTTGGGGGATCCCTTCTGCCCCTCCTCACAGCCGTCCCTCCAGGGGGGCAGCAGGGCCTCAGCGCTCCCAGTGCAGGAGATGTGGAGACGCACTGGCCACAGAGCATTTACTACAAATAACTTTTAGTAATAAACAACTAAACGTTGATCTGTCTACCAAGAGCCAGCAATCCTAAACCATTCCAGTGCTAAAATACTCCTCCCCCAAAATTTCTTTGGTTGACCCAAGTCTAAATAACGGCTGTGTCTGCTGTAGAGTCTTAATAATATTACATCACCTTTAGATGTGATTGTTTTTATTACATCATCTTTAATTAACGATGTTTTCTACACGATGTGAATGTAGAGAATCCCAGTTAACAGGCAGCACTGGCACAGAGGGAATCAGCTAGGCTTAGCTTTGCCTTTTTCTTTTTCACTAAATTCAGAAAGACTTGGAATCTGAGCCCCACGGGGGCAGTTTGGTCTCCAGCCTGCAGAGTAGATTTGAAATAACCAAGGGCAGCCCCTGTGTAACCACCTGAACATTTACTTGCCTTTGCAATTTTGGGGCTGGAGAGATATTTGAAAGCTACCAGAATTGGTCCCAAAGACGCATAGACATGCTATTTATGGAATTTGATGTGAAATGGGTTTTCTATAAATGTTTCCCAATCTTATGCTTTTAAAACTTTTCCTAACTATTTGTATCGATATATCTGTTGCTTAACATGAAAGAAATTTTTCAAAATTAAAATAAAGCAAAAGAGGTCTGTGATCAATGATGGGAGAAGATAGATGGACAAATCTGACATAAAGAGAAGTTCGGTTCTCCTTATGTTTATTTGTTAACTTTTGCAACAAATTTACAAAAGTTAAGGCTTTAAAACAAATTGTAATTATTCATTAATGTGACAGACCAACGTATAGGTACATATGTATTTCCCCAATTTTCAAAATATACTTTATTGCAATTGAAAAGTATTAGTCGACTTTTTTCTTCTTTTTACTGTGATATTTATTTAATTTTTGTTCTCATTTATTTATTGGAGCGATAAGTATAAAATTCAACAAGAACATTTTTAACAGCATGTGTTTATGTTCTGTCCCGTATTCTTTTTTGTTTAATTCCGTGACCATTACTGGCTGTCACACAGAGGACCCTGGTGTCATGTATGCTGTGTGGACCTGTGCTCACAAGCTCCCTAGGAAACACTGAGGCCCTGAAGCCCACTGGTTTTACTGCAGCCTATGTGCGTGGGTCTCCCGACCCCATTCTGATTTGGTTTTTTCACGTTTCCTAATACCCGAGACTTCACCAATCTGTTTCTGTTTCATTCTCTGTAGAGGCACAAGTGAAAAGATAATGAAAATTCTCTGATTTTTCAAATGTTCATTTTTTCTGGTCCTTTCTTCAAAGATAATTGAAGATTATTATTGTTATTTGGGGGGACCCTCGGTGAGAAAGCTGCTCTATGTTTCCTGTGCAGTGTTCTCCTGTGGGTGTCCCTTCCATTAAGAGGCTCACATATGAGAATCTGCACTTCACAAGACGTGAGCAGAGGCTGAAGCATCCCCCCTCTCGCATCAATGTGTCTTTAAATTGCCGTCTCTCCTAGTGCATTTCAGAGACTCAGATATATAATAATTCTACAAACATACAACTTATTAAGACTGTCTCCTCTATTGCAAAAATCACGATGTTCCTCTATTTGGTGAGGGACCTAATTTAAGTGTTTGTGAGATTTTGATGAATCCCAGTCATAAAGCACGCCCTTCTCCTGTGCCAAAAATCACCAAGTGCATTTCTTTCTTTTTTTTTCTACTGAAGTTTAGTTGATTTACAATATTGTGTTAGCTTCAAGTGTACAGCAAAATGACTCAGTTTTACCTACTTTTTCCACATTCTTTTCCATTGTAAGTTATTACAAGATACTGAGTAGAGCTCCCTGTGCTGCACAGTAAATCCTTGTCGCTCACCAAATGCATTTCTAAGGTGGGAGTGCCAGCCTCGGCAGCGGGCCCTCAGCTCCCTGAGGGCGGGGCCTGGGGGCGGGGCCTGGCTCGCGGCAGGTGCCTGAGTCTCCTGGTCATAGCTCCCGGAGTCTTGCTCCCATCAGGCTGTCCTGCCCCGAGCAGGGCGCCTCAGAGGCCCCAGCTCTGCCCTGCTCGCTCCCCAGACCCCAGGCTCCGGTCTGTGCTTCCCTCCTGGCCCCTCACGACTGCGCTGTGGGAGCCCCCCATCTTCACTTTCTGGCTCGCGAGAGGGCGGGCTGAGCCATCCGACGGAGGACAGGAGCCCCTCTGCTCACCGGGTCCTGCCTACCCACCCACCCAGTTTCCAGAAACGCGCTCAGGACCTCGTTTGCCCTCATACAGTTAGCACCTTGGAAACTAGGAATCTGAGCCCACTGTGGACCAGGCAGGACCCGGTTCAGCCCACCTGGAGTTTCGTAACCTCCCCTGTGTGCTGACATCATTTGTTTCTGAGCCTTTCTTTAAAAAATAAATACATAAAAGTCAAATGTTCTGGGAAATGAATCTTAGCCTCTTAAACATTCTTTTTATCAAGGCCTCACCACTAGGACCCTAATCTTATTTTATTTTGCTTCTTAAGCTAAAAAAATAATTCCGCTGACATGTTTATTTCCTTTTTCTGTATTTAAGTCAATCAGTCAAAACTATTGGTGGCCCCGCTGTGCTCACAGCCCTGGGCCAGGTCCCCGCCCAGCCGAGCCCATGTGTCCCCCCAGGGTGCAGGGTGCCTCTGGTGCAGAGGAGAGGCCTGTTCCGGGGTCTCCTCTGCGGCTCCCTTCTGCAGCCCCAACCAGAGCCCAGCCACACGTTTCTGGCTTCAGCTACCTTCCTGTGGCTTGGATCTTTAAACTCTTACATATTTCTTACAATACCGTGGACCTTATTCTTGTTACCTTTCACTCCAATCCATGCACTTGCTATCTGATAGCCTTGTTCTGTTTCCTGGATTTCTTCATTCACTGCCTTTCTCACAATTTACATTCATTTCTCAGAAGAGTTTTGATGCTGATTGTTTACTGTGAAACTAGCTCTGGACAAAGTTCACGGTACCAGTTGAAACGGTTGCTTAAAGCCACTTTTCTTCTCTCTAGAGAAGCACAACTTCTGGTCCTAGAATCACACACCTCTTTGGAAAAGACACGAGCTGACGTCGGGCGACCGGGATGTTGCACCGTAAGCCAGCCTGCTGGCGGCAAGGCTCCTGTGCAGCCTCTCGATCGGATCTGAAGTGCTTTACTGTATTACAGTGTCCAGACGTATCTGTTCTATTTTACCCCTCTTTTCTTCAGGTTTCTCTGGGAAAAGTCCAGACTCTCTAGATTTTCTGTTCAATAGCTTCTTCCTCAGATTATGAAAATTTGTTTTCCCTCACAAAATGAAAGAAGTCTACAGTGCCATTCAGAAAATTACTTTTATTTTGTAAATCCTATAACGCTTCATAAAGTGTTTCCATATAGAGAGCACCTTCACGTACATTAATTCATTTTCCCAGCAAAGCTGTGGAATCACCAGCACCCACGTTCAGCTGCTCAGTAGCAGAACAGGACCTAGAACTCAGGTCTGACTCATAATCCATTGCTCTTTGCTCTATACCATGTTGGAACCAATGAGCAACGAGCTCTCCATGTGAGCAAATCAAAGATAACCTGCCAAAATGATTTAGAAACAAAGGTTGAGGCAACGTTATCATGTGACATAGTCGGGTCCCAGTGGATTGATTTATGAATTAATAAAGTGGAATTGAATCGCAGAAGAGGCCACAGTTACCTGGTCCACGAGAGACCAGGTCATGTCTCCACATGATACATTTACACAGGGAAGTGTCTTTCCTCAAGGACTGTGGATCTGAAATCATCTTGAGGCTTGTAGACTTGAATTGGTTGTGTCTGAGATCCACTAAACAGGTCTAGACATGCCAGTGGGTGGCATCTCGGTTAGAAGGGGCAGCAGGTAGAGATGGTGTCTGTCTAGGAGGGACCTGCTGGAAGAACCAAGACAAAGGTGCAGAATATAAGCCAGAGGCAGGGCAGAAGCTGCCCGGGAGAAGCAATGGGGCAGGTGGCCCAAGAACTGAGCAGACAGGAAGGAGGGACATTGGGCCAGGTTGGGATGGACCCTGCGGTCCTGGGGACCTGCCAGGCGGAGTGAGGGATGCTGCTGTCTACACCGCACAGGCCGGCACCAAGTCACACGGTCTCACAAACACAACTCTGGACCAATGACAGCTGTTCCGTCTTAACACCAAATCGTCAGACATATCTTAACATACTTTTAAGACCAAAGAATCAGTCTCCTCTTGTCGAGAATTGTTTTGCCCCAAAACAAAACAAAAACAAACAAGACAAAACAAAAGCTCTCAAGTCCATGGAAAAGAATTAACTTTTTCAAAAGAAAACTTTGTGTAGGAAAGGAAACAATGGGGCAGTTGAAAAGTAGTTATAACAACCATTATAAAAAGGCAATGAGTAAATATTTTAACAGACGATGGTTAAGTATAGTGGTGAATACATCTCTGACTTCCTTAGCTAGAATAAACCCAGTTGGGTTGCTGAATCAGTAACCCCACCCCCCCCTTTGGTTTCTATAAGTTTAAAACTCAAAGCTAAGAAAGCAGGGAACCATCATGCCCTCTGGAAGTAAAAGACAACTTCGTATTTTGGAAAATAGCCTAACCTGCGCCACTTAGGTAGTGAGGGCTTTACCCCAGCCATATGCCTCTCGCTCCGATCCTGGCACTTGACAACTGCCAAGATCTGGAAAGAAAACTTGCAAAATTACTTCTGAAGCTTATATTTATGTATTTTTCAAGAAGAGGTAGGCAGAAAACCATGACTTTGGGTCTTCTCTAGCAATGTCACCTTTTTCTTATTCCCATGTTTTAGGAGATGCTTATTTTTAACATGTGTTTGTTGCCTGGACCCTGTTCAGCAAAACGTCGCTGTAAAATTGTGCACATTTCCCAGAATACGCGTGAGACAAACAATTTTCTAGGAAACCAGTGGGATTTAACTGGGTAGATCATCATCCTTCCTGCCCTCAGCCCACTTCGGAAGTTGGGCCTAATCAGAATTATTTGTCGTTCAGTTATTTTTCCTGAAATGTTGGCAGGCGTCACCCACCTTCCTAGCTGCCATATCCGTCAGGGCCAGTGTGAGTTCTCCTGTCCTCAGTTTACCGGGTCTTAAAATACAGAATTTCTCAGAATTTCAGTGTTTTGTCTCGAATCAGATGTAGAGTCATTAAAAGAGAAAAGTATCTTTTTGTGTGCGTGGCCTTTGGGGAAAATGTAAATTGTTGAAATTATCTCTTCCAAGGCCGCACAGCTTCCAGCTAAAGGAGATAGGGGTGAATTTACTATCAACACCTTCCTTTACCCAAAACTTCGCCACAATGAGGTCTTGGGATAACTTACCCAACAGCCTCAATTTCTAACCCATTTCTCGATTTTCTTGGGTACATCAGACCTGAAGATTCTAAAAATTTCAATACACACACTTAGGGCTGTATGTGTATTGGGTCCAGTAGGTATTTATAACTTGACCAGGGAAAGCTCTCCTGCCTGAGACAGGTTACCAACCCCTGGAAACGACTAGCCCTCCAGGTAAGAGAAGATATTTCCGTTCCCTAAGAAGGCATGTGCTGTCCCATTTACAATAAAAGAGACCCCAGAATTTCTTTGAATAGCAACAACAGCTGTTATTTAAGGCACACCAAAGGAGATAGACTTGGTTTTTTTTTTTTTACTGTGACAAGAGGTTTGAGTCGGCCATGGGGGATTCTGGGGGCTTTCAAACCTTTTTCCCCTTTGCATTTTATGTCACGCTAGGCATGCTTCACCATGAACTATTTCACATGCTAACAGAAGACGGAGATGGTCTTATAGGGCAGACCCCTGCTGATTGCCCGTCTTCTTCCTGGCCAGGTTGGACATGGGTGACCATGCATACACAATGTTTTCCATAGAAAGACACAGACCAGCACTGACTACACAGCCCGTTGGATGGCATCAGGTGCTAACAGACGATGCAGCTGTTTGGCAAAAACACCTCAGGCTTGTTCTAACGGTCGCTCGGGCCAGGAGAAGGCGGGGCTCTGACGTCTGTTTGGGGAGACTGCTGTCCGGAGTCAAAGCAAGTCGCTGGGATCAGGGTGGCCCCTGTTTTGATTCTTCCTTGGGCGATACGTTTACCCTCCTATTGTTTTTTTCATGTTTTTTTAAAAACAGCTTTATTGAGGTCAAATTTACATGCTATATGTAAATAGTACACATCTACCGTGTGCTATTCAGTGAGGTTAAGAACACCGACCCAGTTGTGCAGCTGTCACCATAACCAGATGCAGAGCAGTGTCATCACCCCTCCTTCCCACACTGACACCCGCCCACAGATGCACTTTCTTTCTCTGTAGAGCTGCCTCGCAGGCTAGTTCATATAAATGGGACCATACAGTGTGTGGTCTTTGGGTCTGGCGTCCTTCCTGGTATAAAGTTTTTGAGAGTCATCCACGGTGTACCTTGTGTTGGTGTTTCTTTCCTTTTTATTGAACAGCCTGGATTTTTTTAAATTGGAGTTGAGGGTCTCCATGGGGCCTGCCTGTGTGATGTCCGGAGGCACCGTGACTGTCACACGTGGGTGGGGGCTGCTCCTGGCATCTGGTGGACGAAGGCCAGTGATGCTGCTAAACACCCGCACGCGAATAATGACCTTTCCCAAAACGTCAGCGGTGCTGAGACTGAGAATCCCTGGTGGGCTTCACAAAATTCCCTCTTATCCTCAGGGTACACGTCTAAAGCCAAGTGTTGCCTGACGGGAGCCTTCCCTTTGATTGCACTGCATATCATTGAATTGGGATTCCGTTTGTCTAATTTATATGTATGTTTAAAATATAAACTCATTTGTTAAATGTAATTTTTTTTACCATTTGGGAAAATTTTGGAATCTCCTAAAATATTATTCATTGGGTTGCACTGTCCACCAGAGAGAAAGGTGAGGAAAGAGAGTGTACAATTCTTGTTTCCTGGCTGAGATCTCAGCGTTGCTTGGTTTTGGAAACTTAGCGACAGAAAAGTAGCAAATGGTGTGGCTTGTACAGTTTTAAGTTCCAGGAACTGCAGGAATCTTTGGGAGGCTTATAATAGAGGAATTTAATAAAGGACATTAAGTTTGTTTAGCAACAAATTGCGCTATAATTTTTGTGGCTTAGGGTCCAATGTTACGTACTCTGGTTATATTTTTCCACTTCAGCTCCAGAATTTTGACTCTACTATGTTATTCTTAACATTAATGAATAAAGTTTACAGGGGCCAGGGATTAAAAGAAACAGATCCAAAAATCAAAAACTAAAGAAGTTCTTATCACCCAGCATAAAACACCTCTTGGGAAAAAGAAGAAATCAGTCAGAATTTAAATACTTTGTTTTATCTGAGACCAGGGACCTCGGACTGCTCGATTTTTCCTCTGGGGTTGTTGAGGTGCCAGGAGGCGGGATTCTGTCTTGGTTCTTTTGAGTTTTGTGTGATGATGAATAAGAAACACAGTTCTCTGGAGCTTAATAATGTAAGAGGAGACCCAAGTGCTGTGAGTCGGTAAACCATCCTGGGCAGGGTTACCTTTGGGAATTTAACAAGTAAACAGTGCATTTCAACTGCCCTGGGTAACTTCTCACTCCGACCACTCTGGGGTCCCAGTGGGCAGCTCTGCCTCAGCCCCGGGGGAGGGGGTGCCGGGCAGGAGTGCTGGTTGGCAGGGGCCGGCAGAGCTGGGTCTCCTGCAGGCTCCCCTGCATCTGACCTCCTGTACCACCTCTGTGTCTCATCAGCACCGCCTGCTAGAAATACACAGCGGCAGTAAAATGAGGGCAAAATGCAAATGCACATGCACACGTGTGTACACATATAACATACATGTATCCAGATGGGCATATGCAGTATATGCCTGTACAGTCCTACGTGCACACACAGCACACAACACATATGCACATACACACAACATGTGTGCACGGCACATATGCACACGCACATTCCTCAGAATGACCGTAAGCACTTTGTACACATTTGTTCATCGCTGCCAGATAGTTGTTTTGTGTCTGTGTTACAGTTGAGGATGCTTAGGCTCAGAGAGGTTGAGCAATTTGATCAGGGCCACACAGCTGATAAGCAGTAGAGTTTAGAAATTAGAACGGAGTTTTCTGTAAATCCAAATTCCAAAGAAAGAAGCAGTACAAAAGGAGATCTGGCCTTTAAAAAGCTGTAACCCAGGGACTTCCCTGGCGATCCAGTGGTTACGAGTCCACCTTCCAATGCAGGGGATGTGGGTTCAATCCCAGATCAGGGAACTAAGATCCCACATGCATGGGGCAACTAAGCCCACAGGCTCTGGAGCCTGCCCAACACAACCAGAGAGAAGCCCGCACGCTGCAATGAAATACCCTGCGTGCCGCAACTAAGACCCGAGGCAGCCAAATAAATATTTAAAAAAAAAAAAAAAAGCTGTAACCCCAACATAAAAATACCAGTGGTTGTGGCAGTGGAAGGAGATGAGTAGACAGTGCAAATACTGTGTATGATGTTATAATGTGGATACATATCATTATACATTTGTCCAAACCTGCAGAACGCACAGCACCGCGAGTGGACCCTGATATGAACTATGGGTGGTGCTGATGTCGTAACTGGGTGACTGGGTGTCCATATAGGTTCATCGATTGTAACACCTGCATCATCTGGTGGGGATGCTGATAGCAGGGGAGGCTCTGTGTGTGTGTGCCTGTGTCTGTGTCTCTGTGTGTATGTGTCTGTGTGTGTGTCTGTGTCTCTGTGTGTATCTGTGTCTGTGTGTGTCTCTGTGTGTGTCTGTGTGTGTGTGTGTGTGTGTCTGTGTGTGTGTCTGTGTCTGTGTGTGTCTGTATGTCTGTGTGTGTGTGTCTGTGTGTGTGTGTGTGTGTGTCTCTGTGGGGGGGGAGGGGCGGGGTACATGGGAGATCTCTGTACCTTTCAATTTTGTTGTGAACCTAAAACTGCTCTAAATAAAGAAAGTCTGTAAAAAAAAAAAGCTATAACTCCACACTTGGGCTCCAGCTCTGTTGTTTCAACACCCTTTACAGAAGATTCAACTTGGTTGATCAAATGCCTGAATCTAAAACTCTGGAATATGATCAACCTTGGTCTGTCTGTGTCTCTCTTAAAATAAACGTAGCTTTTTTTCTGAAGATAAAAATGACATATGCTAATTACTGAAGTAGTATACATGTATATGAAATATTTTTTAAAAGTAAAAATTATCTCCACCTCTTCACCTAGAGATAAGCAATGTGAACACATCCACATAGCTCTCCTGCAGTCTCTCTAGGCAGATTAGATAGATAGATGACAGAGAAAGCGGGTAGAGTTTTACATAAGTGATACTAGAGTATAGACAGGTAATTAAAAGAAGGAGATCTAGGTGAAGGTCTCCTTCCCACTCTCACTGAAAAACAAACTATTGTAGACATAAGCATTTTGATGTTCGCTGGCGGAGGGGAAGTGTTCTGAGAATTTCCTTTGTGTTCATCTTGGCTCCACGATTGATTAACGGATGAAGCTCCCAGAACCTCAGAGAGAAGCAGGTGTTTGTCCTTTTTACCATCTCCCCTGTAAGAATGTGTCTGTTCTTCCATTATGGTGATACTCTGACCCCTGGGAAATGCTCACTGCCAGCACAAACCACAAATCTCTGAGTGCAGGGCATTCTCAGTTCAGTAGGAAACTGTTCCCCTTCGGAACTTTACCCCCAAACCTGCGTTCCCGGGACAAAGCTGCTCTGTCCTGACCGCGGCCTCCTCCCCAGTACCTGCCTCCGCTTTTCAAGCCTCCCTTCTGTGACCTCCTTCTCCTTCTAAGGTCTTCTTTGAGACCTTTTCTTTTGTAAAGAGGATTTCAATCACTGCTATTTTTAGCTGACGGCACTTCTATATGCTGAGCCCCCTGGTTTCCAGATTCACACACCATCTCCTCTGACAAAGAGCACGCGGCTCTCTAAGGAGATTTTTAGCCCTCACGCTACTGCTCTTAGGAAGCAGAGGTGCCTTTCATTGGTCCTGCCGGGAGAGAGCCGTTTCCTGTTAGCTGCCTCCCGGAGAGCAGAGGGTGGTGCCAGCTCCCTCCTCCAGCCCCGCTTGCCGAGGGCTTCACTGCCCCGCGTCACGTCGCTTGGCGTCGGGTAGGTCTGACCCTTCCGCTGGCAGACTGTTGGTCACATAGTTGGAAGCGGTGTCTCCAGGACCCAGACGAGCATGGCCTTGACCCCGCTGTGCGCTGGGTCCGAGGCAGAAATGCCCCCATGAGCTCTTGCCCTGCCCCAGGCCAGGGACGAGGCCCACAGGAGTGTGGAGAACTTGGGTCCTGATCACACAGGTGACCTGCAGGCAGGACCTCACAGGCAGCTTCAGGCGAGTTCTTGCCCCGCCCTTGCCCTTGGGGAGCTGTCGGGTAAGCCTCCCAGAGGAGTTGAAGAGAAAGTTCTGGATTAGGAACCGTGAATGGAGCAGGGCTGTCAGCCACCTGGGTTCCCAAGCTTTGCTGGCTTTTCTAAAAAAGAAATCCAAAATATACAAAGTACAATATAACGAACAGCCAGGTTTCCACTATAAGTATTGGTACTTAATAGTTTGTCATGTTTACTTTTCTATAAAACGCTACAAATATAATTTCTAGAACCTTTATAAAAACAAGCAAAAAATAGCATATACTATTCACAGATGTACATA